CCGGCTTGTTCACGGGGGTAGGCGCGGGCATCTGTCCCTTCGGCTCCGGCACACGGTGCAGGGTCAGCAGATACCCGTCCTTGGTCATGACGACGTGCTCTTCATGCGCATACCCGTAGTAGCTGCATAGTTCGCCAAAGTCTTTGGCAGTGCGGACGGCGTTGGAGACGACCTCCTCAACAGTCTGGCCGCGCTTTTTGGCGACACTCGTAAACCTGTCGAAGAGGATCTGGGAACGCTCGTAGAACCAGTTCACGATGGGCTTGGGGAGGAGGAGAATGATGGAGCGGAGAAGTGTCTCGAGCGCGAGGAGGGAGAATCCAACTAACAAGGCGAGGTATTCGTGGAACGAGAGTCTGCCTATTAGTGGGAGACGGCCCATGGTCAGACTCGTCGAGGTGAGACCGTTGAGAAGATTTCTCTATCAGAAAAAAGCAGCTTTTTGAGCACGACACACAATCCCAGGCAGAACCTCAGCGTCAGCCAGCTGGCTCAGGCGTTATAATAACGTACAGTTTTGATCAACCCCACTCCAATTCAATCCGAAGTCGTCGTTGCGAACAAGACTGGAGTTCAAGTGGTACAGAATTCGAGCACGTTCGTGTGGCAAGTCCAAGTTGACAGGCCGTATGTACGTCGTCAAGAGAAAAAAGAGCGAAAATCAAATAGATATAGGACTCGGTGGTGGCATCACTGGCAAGTGTGGAGACTCTTGGGACGGTCTATCCAAGGACAAGTAGTCTGGCGTAGGTCGTTCGATTCGGAAAGTGGCACCTTCGGGGGTTATACGAGGCAAGCCGTCGATATGTGCGGCCAAGTTGGGGCTCCACCGATGCTTCGAGTCGACGCTCATCATTATGCATTATCTTGCTGCCAATAGACACCATAGTAGTATAGTATACGCATCTGACACGGATAGTGATACCAGATAAAGCACACGAAACAAAACACTACAACAGTTAATATTACCGATACAAGCAACCTCACCCCGTGACTCAAATATCCACACACCACACCTCCAACTTCCCCTCCCCCCGCCCCCTCGCACTCTCCCGCGCAGTCTCAAGCGCAAGCTCATAATCACTCTCATCACGCAACGTAATCTTTGTCCCGTCCTCGTCCTTAAACTTGAGCCCCAGCCCATCCGCCCGAGTCCCAAACTTGCTTGTGATGCGCGCCACAAACTCCTCAAAGGGTGTGTCGGGCGGGAGCGTCATGCCGCGGACGTCGCCCTGGTAGTGGAGCTGCATGTGCAGGATGCGGAGAGGAGAGTGAGCATTGACTGTTGTGCATAACATCACAACGGAACACGCATACCTTGATCCTGATATTGCTCAACTCCAACGGGCTCTCGTCATACCCACCCGTAACGAACCCGTCGTCCTCCTCTTCATACGGCGTCGTCCTTCGCACTGCCGGGCGCCGGGTCGATTTCTTCCGTAGCATCCCTCCACCGCCGCTACTGAGACCGCCACCAAGATTCGTGTCCGACGCAGTGCTTCGAGACGGCGCATGGTTAACGCCAGAGCTAGGGCCGAGGATGTTGTAGTTGCCGCTACCACCACCAGCGGAGTGAGGAGGCACGTTCATCATGTTCGTGAACGAATTGGAGCTCGCGCTCATGTTAGGACTCGATGGTGCGCTGTATTGGCTTAGTGCCACAGAGCGCTCGCCGGCTGATAGCGGTTGTTGCAGCGGTAGTATCCGAGACTGCGGTTGTGTCTGCGTCTGGGGTGAGACTCCTCCTGACCCGATAATCAAAGACCGCAGAGTATCATCTGTGTATGGGTTGGCATAATCGTCATAAATCTCGGTAAGACGCGCTTCTGCCAGTGAAAAGACGACATCAGCGTCACCGTGGTGCAGTACCCAATGCAGAATGATCAACTTACGTTGTTGGACAGCAGGAGGAATAGCTGGCAAGACGAACGAGGATGACTTTTGTGGCGTCGGTGCGTTGTTCAACATTGAAGGTTGCTGGCGTGTGGGTGGAAGTTGGAGAGTTGGCGTGGGCAGTTGCGGTCTCCTAGTACTCATACCCCTCGACACCGCACCAACTTCCACCACCCTCCCGCCACCCACACCTGCACCCACCATCCCACTCGATTGCGGCGTCTTGGGTCTCAACGGGGCGGTGGTCATATTGCTCCTCGAAAGGCTGGTGTTGCTCCTCTTGTGACTCGGTAGAGGTAGAACGTCGGCTGGGTTAGAGACAGACTGGGATCTCCGAGAGCTGGGGGTGATGGGTTGGAAGGGAGGTGAGCGCATACCGGTGATTCGTTCGCGGGTGTCGGTGGGGACTTGAATAGTCTTTGAGCGTTCGAGTCCGAGGGGTCTCGGAACGGCATTGGCAGGATTGGGGCCTAGAGAGGTAAGAAAAAAGTGAGGATGTAGGGCTATCGGAAGTCGATGGTACGCACGAAGTGCAGGAGCAGTGGCGCTACGAGTCAGACTCGGCATCCCGGTATCGGAATCGGTCTTGATATCGTTCACGGCTGAAGTTTGTTGTAGCTTCTTCAGACCAGTAAATTCGGTGAACTCGTCGTTGGAATCACTTGCTGCTACCAGTTTCTATTGATTGCCAAATTGAGTGAGAAAAGCGTCAGAAGGAAGCGATGGAGAGCTTACCGCCTTTCCGAGGTAATCCTTGCTCTTGGAGTTCTTCAGCTTGTTTTCTGACGGACGATACAAAACACCAACGGGCTGTGCGAGGGTCAAGATGGGGCACCTTTCATGAAGGGACGACATACGATGCTGAAAACGGTATAACCCTCGCCACGGTCACGAATGGCCTCATCAATAACATCATGCTCCTCGGTCACCTTCTCCTTGCGCGCCTCTTCCAAATCATACATTGCTTCCTGCGGGTAACCTAGGTATAGTTGTGAAAGACCCTTGTTGAACAGGACTTCAGCTGCAAATAACTTGAACTTGAGGCCGATTTGTTCGTAGTTGCTAGCGAGGTAGAATAGCGAGATCAGTTGGGCAGATGGGTGCCAAGTCAGAACGCGACTCACATAGCTTGATTACCACGGAGATAGAGTTGGGCATCCTCAAAGTTCGTGAATGCAAGGTCATAGCGTCCTAGGAGGAAATTGGAAACGCCGGCTTGAAAGTATCTAGAGATGAGAGGAAGAGGAAGATTAGGACCGGTCAATGATTCAACGCAACACACGCCCAGGCCCGTCAAACAAGACGATGTGAAAAGGATATACCGGATCACACACCGACAGACGGGGGGGCAATGGGGGAAACTCACGCAATGGACAGGTATGAATCTAGGTTAGTAGCAGCATTGAAATGCTCGACTGCAGCTTCGTGCTCTCCGATCGTCGCGTATATGAGACCCATGTTCGTGAGGATCTTGGAGGAGTCTGCGATTTGCTGATTTTGGAAGGTGAATATAACGTGCCGATGACCCTGGGGGAAAAGATGACTCACGGAGAACTGTTGGAGGGCTCTCTCGAAATCCTGCTCGTCGTATGACTTGAGGGCGGCAGCCCAAGTTTCGAGTTCGGCCTTGAGAGACAGAGACATGGTTGAATGCAAAGAGGGGGGAGCGTGCCAGACGCAAGGTAACACAAAAGAAAGATCGAAAAGGAATCCTGAAAGGAAAAGAAAAAAAAAAGGGGGGCAAAGAACCCGAAGCGAACGAAAAGACAAAGAGAAGGCAAATGGACGCAGTCACGGACTAATGTGCACCGCACGGTTGGACTATATAAGTTACTGGGATAGACCCTCCTCACTGCGGGTCGTCAAGGATTCTATGAAACACAGTACAGCCACCTTCTACTCATTGATGCACGATAGGTTCCTATATTTGGCATGTTCGCCTCTCCCCGCTGGCAGTGTACAACGCCAACTCAGCCAGTGACTGGCTGAGTTGGCCTTCATCAGCGCGTTGACATGTTACTACACAGGCTTAATATCTATATCAGCTCTCTTGATCTCTCACACAAAAACCATTCTATTTTTGACTCCGCAGCGGTTCCGTCTCATGCCTTGAACCAATTCACACTGGTGTCATTTTCTTTGCCTGCACCATCAAAGCACCGCACCCCAAAGTACGGCCAACCTCTTTCACGGCAGTCCATCAACACCTGGCGTCCATGAACGCTGTCCGCTGCTTCGCCCCATTATTGTGAGGTACCTGGCGTCGCGGAGTAGCACAGTGGGCATCATACGTTCCTGTCCCTGTCCCAGTGGCTAGGCTTGGGTGCATGCAGCGTGCTGTTACTTAAGCATGTACATCGTTTTCCGCTTGTGTCATTGCAATTGTCAAGGTGACCCTTGGCGGTCCCAAGAAGGAACGACCGTCTTCATTCTGCCAACGGTCTGCCTATGGGACACCAGGCGCTCATATTCGCCGAGGGTTTGTCTCGTTCAAATCAAGCGTTGGATACACCACTGAGCGAGGTCCACGGCCATATCAGTGCCCTTTATCCGGCTAATCCGATTTCCCGTTAAGGGAGATTACTTACCTAGTATTCGAGTTGTTATCCGTTGCGTTGCGCTGAACACGACGGGTGGGCATCGTCATCACACTCGGATCCTGGTGTAGCTCTGGTGTTCGGTCGTCGATTGCTCGGCTGCGTTTCAAGATGGCAATCGTCTTTGGCTCCGATCACTTGACTCCATCTTCACTGCTCCTCGGGTGGTGCTTGTTTCGAGATTTCCGTTACCGCTGCTTTGCTGATATCGGTGCCATGATTGCAGGAGTTTCGCACACGGATTGACGTCAACGACATCAAGCTATGGCGTCAGCTTCTAGTCAAATCACAGCTCGGGGCCAATGTTGATTTGAATGATCTGCCATAATTTTGCTGAGCAAGGCTGGAACGACTGGGGCCATGGCGAACGGGATCACAACCTTTGATTGGTGTCACACGATGGCTCGTAAACGTTGACCTTGCCAACCAAACAATATTAGTGCTGCTGAAGTTGAAGTTGCCTCCCAAATCGCCATTAATATTTGGGAAGTAGGTCAAAAAAAAGGTGGTTGGTAGCGGTGAGGTTCGAACTCACGCGGACTTGCGCCCATTGGGATTCAAATGACTTAAATCCAACGCCTTAGACCCACTCGGCCACGCTACCAATCTATCTGTTAGCGCCATAGGGGATGTCATAGATCAGTGTGCCAGATCGAAAGATGCTGGTGACTGGCAATGCATTGCATGAT